TTAAAATTGGGGTTGGGTTGGGTTGCTGGATTAGTCTGTTGTACCAAAAGCACCAAAGAGCCTTGTTACATTTAAAAGACTAGTAGGCTTTATCTGGCATATGTTTTTATGGACTATAGCCTGCTTTATCAGGACACAGGCTGGGACTAAATTTGCAGTAAAGAAATAAAACGTAATTTGTTTTTTGTTTTTTTCAGAAGTGACTGATTCATTGCGATTCATTTGTCATCATGAGAGCCATTAATTGGTCTCAGGCAGCAGTTCCCAACCTTGGGTCCCCAGATGTTATTGGACTATAACTCCCAGAAATCCTGGCCAGCACAGCTAGTGGTGAAGGCCTCTCTTACGTTGAGCCAAAATCTCCCTGACATTAATTTAAATTTATTACTTAAGGACTTATCCTCTAAAGCTACAGAAAACAAGCTCACTCCATCTGCCAAGTGATAGCCCTTTTAATATTTCAAGATGACAATCATATCACCATAAATTAAATGAATAAAAATACTGTATGTCCAGTAGTCTTCTCTTTAAAGTTGGGGAGGGAGTTAGGTTTGCTGGATTAGTCTGTTGTACCAAAAGCACCAAAGAGCCTTGTTACATTTAAAAGACTAGTAGGCTTTATCTGGCATATGTTTTTATGGACTATAGCCTGCTTTATCAGGACACAGGCTGGGACTAAATTTGCAGTAAAGAAATAAAACGTAATTTGTTTTTTGTTTTTTTCAGAAGTGACTGATTCATTGCGATTCATTTGTCATCATGAGAGCCATTGATTGGTCTCAGGCAGCAGTTCCCAACCTTGGGTCCCCAGATGTTATTGGACTATAACATAACGAAATCGTGGCCAGCACAGCTCGTGGTGAAGGCTTCTGAGAGATTTAGCCCAAGAACATCTGGGAATTCAAGGCTGGAACCACTGTTCTAGGACAATCTAAGCTGAACCAATAGTACTTTGCAGCTATCAACAAAGATACACATTAAGTTCAACATGGAGCAGCGGATGAAAATGGCATCCTTTCCTTGTGTCCCCTCAATCCCATATTTAGAAGCATTTCCCTCAACTCTGCCATTACATTATCATATCTGTTTCCCCATAAAATATAATGATACAGCAGTGTGGTCACAAAGATGGATTTCTTCTAATGGATGCAAGTATATTTGCTCTTCCCAATATTTAATCTGTCACTGTTGCTCTCTTGCTCACTGGTAATTTATGGTGATGCTTCTTAAACATCTCAAGCAAAGTGTAATTAACTGAGCAATGAATGAAATGTAAAGGACACCTAGATAATTCCCTAAGCAATCACAGCTATTTTGACCAGAACAAAGTTCTGAAGCCTTATCAGAAAAATCATTATTTGAGAGAGAAATAATTAAAGGGATATATAAGGTGTGTGTGTGTGTGTGTGTGTGTGTATCAGAAAAATCATCATTTGAGAGAGAAATAATGAAAGGGATATATAAGAGGTGTGTGTGTGTGCGTGCACACATCAGTGTATTTATGTGCATATGTGTACATCTGTAAAGCATTCATTTAAAGCAGAGATGAGCAACTTGTGGCCCTCCAGATGTTGTTAGACTACAATTCCAATTACCACTTATGCTATCTAGGGCTAATGGGGATTACAGTTCAATAATATCTGGAGGGCCACACGTTGCCAATCCTCAATTTAAAGCAATCCGTTACAAAATTCACAATGCCATCCAAAATGTACCAAGATTCCTGACAGGGAACAGTTCTAGTTTTTTTAAAAAAATCATAATTTGAAAACCCTTTACCAAAACTTCCCAAAATTTTACACAGAGCAAGAGCGGTGTGCTCTTTCTCTGTGCCAAATTTGGTGCTGATCTGAAGCCATTGGGCTGCCCTCATTTTTAGAATTGCCTGATCTGCTCTTGAACCTGTAAATCTGACTCTTCGTTCATTTCATATTATTAGAATATTCTAAATGCAGAACATGAATTTCTTTACTTCTTTATTTACAATCAAAACTTATTAATTCAAACTTAGATCATGGTCTACATGCCTGTTCCTTTACTGGGCAAACACCAGTGAAATGCACAATTTGTACAAATTGGAACCAACTGGGATTAATATATTTAGCTGATTTTTAATTTATATGACTGTTCTGGGATTCTTTTCTTCAGAAAAGTCCTTCAAATAATATACACTCTTACCATCTCATTGACCAAATTGTGATCATAGATTGTGCAAAAATAAAATTAAAGAAGGGAAAATGGCGTTGATTTTTTGTGAAACCAAAAACAGGCCTTAAAGGTATTAAATAGAAAAGAGTTTAGAATATGACTTGCATCTCTATATATTTTGAATGGGAGTCCTCTGGCTTCATTTAAGTCCTTAGAAACACGTTCTAATAGATGCCATTTCTCAATACCCTTATTATTTAAAATTTTAATTAATTATTGAGCTTGAATCCATAATATCAAAATCAAATATTAGGAATTCTCAAAACTCCATCAATACTATCATGAACATTGATAGTTTAAATAAAGTTAGATTTCTTATTTTGATTAATTAGTAGCTTTATTGTGCCCATGTCGCCAGCAGTAAAAAGGATGGCTTTATTAATCAAAATAAGAAATTTGCCACATGGATAACAGATGGTCTGGAATAAATATTGGGAGAGACTGAAACAAGAAATTAAATCTGGAAGGGGAGTATCATCATTTTAATAGCAGCTATTCAGCCCAACTAGAGAAGATGAAATCTCTTCCAAGAAATGAATTAATTTTTAACAGAGTTCACCAAGGAAGTGAAATTTAGAGATAATTCTACAGTATATGATTTACCTGGCAAAACCACCCCTAAAATATTTAAATTTTTATATTTTATAAAAGGTAATTTTATAAAAGATTTTGGCTATTATATTTTAAAATATTTTACTTGTAAAGAATCTTAGGGTTTGCTTGTTGTCTCCATGTTGCAAGAAGAAGAAGAAGAAGAAGAAGAAGAAGAAGAAGAAGAAGAAGAAGAATGCAAATTATACAAATTAGTGATCTGAGAGATTCCAATTGCTGTTTGTATGCAGCCATTGAATTTCTGAGTCTGGAAAAGGTCCTTTCTTTTGGACTACAAATCCCCAAATCCCAAAGCCACTGTAGCTCAATCAGCCCATAGTCTGTTCTATAATCTCACTGTTTATTTTGTTATGAACTCCCCCAGTCCAATTATAAGTCTGTAGCTATCACTGGAAAACAAAATGAAAAGCACTGTAATACAGCAAGAACCCTGTGGGGAACTAAATGGAAAGTCATTTAAATGTACACATGCCAACCCACATTAGTAGCTGGGAATTAATTTTTTATACACAAGGAATTCACATGCAGAAAATCAAAGGTTCTTGAGTTAATAATATAACTAAATGTTGCTAAAATACTCCACAGTGCAATTACTTTCTAAATGCTAGACCCATTTTCATGCTGTAATACATAAGTGACCACCAAGGATTTGTCTGCAAGAAATAAAAGCTCTTTGAAATACTTCTATTGAAAAGTGTAATTTGTTAGACCTGGCATGAGGCAGCAGCTGTAAGCAGGAGCTAAGGGTGTGAGAAATCCTTGGTTCAAATCTCACCTCAGTTACAAATTTACTCAGTTGTCAAAGTGCTCTTCCAAATGGAATATTTTCTGTTCACTGTTCTGTCACTTAGTGTCAAATGAACACACCTAAATTTGCACCTAAATATATATTTTTAAAGCTACTTCTTATCACTTTAAGAATTCCAATTTTCTGGTAGAGTTTCTCTGCTTCTGCTTTTTTGTTTTGTCTTCTAAAGTGTGAATTGTGTGCTAACGGAAAATCTGTAATTGGAGACCTTCCAGTGGACATCAGCTGCGTATAGGAAGTACTAAATTGCAACTTTCCATATAGCAGGACACTAAAAATATACCACCTTTAAAGAGGAAAGGAAAGAAATGGAAAGTCATGGTTAAAAAGAGCACTGAACATAGCGAGATGAGTAGAACATCACCGGGATGGTTGGAAAAATACCAATGAGATTAATACAGAATCCAATATTTTAAGAAGACCAAATGCTCCATCTGGAAGAATGTTTGGACAAGCAACTGTTTTCTCAGCTCACCCTCTGCTCAAATCAGAAAAAGCAAAGCTGCAGCATCCCCTACAGATAGCTGCCCATTCTCTTCCTGAAGATTTCCAATGATGAACAGCCACACTGAAGTGTTTCAGGACATTTCACAGTCTAAAACAATCTTCCCACCCATGGATTGGTCCCCCGATGTTCTTGGACTACAATTCCCAGAAATCCTGGCCAGCACAGCTAGTGGTGAAGGCTTCTGGGAGTTTTGGTCCAAGAACATTTGGGCCCAAACTTAGGAACCACTGGTCTATAAAGCAAAGAACAAGCTGCTGCCTTCCTCTCAGTCACTTTCTAATGCTGCTAGAGTGGACCCTCTACTTACAGAATTAATCCGTATTGGAACGGTGGCTGCAGGTTGAAAAGTCTGTAGGTCGAAGCTCCATTGACCTACAATGCATTGAAAACCGATTAATCCATAACCGGCCGTTTTTGTTCCATTTTGTTTTTTTCCCGGTCTGTAGGTTGATTCTCTGGCTGCAAGTCAAACCTAAATTTTGCGGCCAGAGAAGTCTGTAACTCGAAAAGTCTGTAAGTAGAGCCGTCTGTAAGTCGAAGGTCCACTATATTTCAAATTCTGGTTGAAGCCAGAGGCACATATCTTTTCCTTTGAAGTAAAACTTTATCTTTTAGGTGAAACAGTGCGACCATTGGCCACAGATATTTACTGTATACTGTACCACTTCAGGCCCCATGCAGCAGCTAAGCATGCCTCAGTGCTAATTCAAAGAAAGAAAGAAAAATCTTCAAACTTGATTTACTTATTGGATGTGTATTTGGCTTTTTTCCCAAATAATTGCTTGCAAGAATCAAATATCAGTAAGATGCACGGTATTTTTCTGTCACATAACCATTTTTTTTTTTAAAAAAAGAAAAGCTTACTCATTCCATGGAAACAGGCCTCCTTCAAGAATAGCTGGAGGAGTAGAGGCGCTGAGATGCTGAGAAAATCCTTCCTGGTGATGATTTTGATGGGAGAAACAAACAAACAGACACCTGAATAGTTGTCGCTCTTTTAAAAACACATACTGTATTCAGATTGGTCCTTTAATGGGGAAATCTTGATCTACGGCAGAAGTCAAAAAGACTATCACTGGCACGTTCAAGTTCACTTGTTTACTTAGCTGAATCTTCTCCATAACCTTGCCACACGACAGCATCTGCACATGGATGATTTAAAGCACTGAGCAGAATCAGGCAACTCCAGGCATTACTTTCAGCCATCCTTTCCACCTAATCTAACCTATTGTTGCCATTGTGGCTTCCTCAGGCTGCTCCTGATCCACTCCTTAGCAGTTCCTCAGCTGTCATTTCCCCTTCTTCAGCTTCCCCCCCCCTGTCCTTGCTTTTTTTCACGCACACTTTCTTGCTCCCCCACTCCTGCCAGCCATAGCAACTTACGGAATAAGATAATTTGGCCTTGTTACATCAAGCCCTCTTCTTGCTCCAGATGGTGATCTCTCTTTTCTCCCACAACTTTCAGAGTATTGCTGAGGGCTCTGTTTTCTCTATCTGCCCTCTAAGGGGAAGAAACAGGGGTGGAGCTGAGAGGAGGACAAGGCCTGGTTGGCTCCCTTCATGGCAGACAGCCATGAGTACCAAGCCAGTCAAAATCAGACCTTGCCTGCTGGAGACACTGGCAGGGCAGCTGAGGGAATCACCATCATACTACTGTAATTCAATTCAACTCTCAGTTTTGTTTTATCAGATCTTTTTTAACCCCATTGTTTTCATCCAGAGTTCATCATCCTGCAAGGTAGCTTTACAATCATTTACAATTCATAGGTGTTAACAAGGAACACCGGCAAGGCATGGCGACCATCAGTCCTTCAGATGTTGCTGGACTGTGACATCGGCCAATCCTTAGCCACCAGCATTTTTTTAAAAGGTTGGCAACAGTGCCAATGTTGATCTGAACCCCAACAATTGCACCTCCACATGTCCCACCACCTTAAAATGGCCATGACTGTAGCCCAAGTCTGCAGTGTCTTCCACTCCAGTGACTTATTTTCCTTTAGTGGAGAGCAGCTATTCACTATCACTTAAGAAGATAAGGCAAGGCACAATAGAAGTTGGTAGGAAAGGGACTAGCCTGGCACCTTACCAGTTACATAGCTCAAAAGAATCAGGCATGGTCCTGAGCCCTATGTCTGGAACCCATTTCCTGGTCAATCAAATAGCAGCCCATTCTATTTCTATTTCTTTTCACATCACCTGGAATGAATAACCAAAATGTCTCCTACCTAACACTTGCTCTTCATGTTCATTTCTTCAGTATGTGCTCTCGTGCACAGTCTCTTTGGTAACAGTGTTGAGCATCTCCCCAGACTCCAACCCCCACTTTGCCTCTTCTTCCAGCTATGTTGTTTTCTTCATTAATATTATAAAGATTAAAGGCCCTTTGTTATGTTTTTTTGGCACACACGTCCAGCTGACTCTCTGTGCCACTGCACACATTGAACTGCATGAGAATAAACACTAGTCTGTCTAAGGGATCATCTTTCTCTAGGAAATTCTTGGACTGTTTCCTATGAGAAGAAGGTTGCCTGGCTGATCGGCTTTTATACTGCAGCTTCTATATTACTGTAGATTTCCACCAGAATGGCATATTTATTGGATTTACGCAGTTGCAGTCTGAGTTTGTTCATCACCCATCAAGCCCATCAATGACAAGCAGAAGTCTTTTCCCATGTATTCCAGATAGGAGATGGAAGTCTTTCTCAACCCTTTTATCTGTCCCTTTGCATATTTTTTTGGACTGCAGTTCCCATCATCCCTCATCATTGACTATGTTGGCTTGGGCAAGTGGGAGTTGCAGTCCAAGAACAACTGAAAGGCCTCCTGTTGGAGATGCTGACATGCCAACTAAAGACTGAAGAGTTGGATTTTTCCCCTCATCCAGGTACTGCATGTGGTCAGAGGCACTCATATGATTGCATATATTCCTTTGATACTCAAATTCTTTCAGATATGGTGATAAGAGCTTCTATGACTAATGAATGCTTCCTGCTGCAATTTATTTTCAGGATTTCAAATGCAAAACCTATGGATCTGACAAGTAAACTACCACACCACATTTAGATGCAAAGAAAGGTGATTGATAATAAGGTAATATGCATCTCCTGGTTAGTCTCTTGGTAGATGTCCATCGGTGTTGATGTTGTTGTTTAATTGTCAGAGTTAAATGAGATTTTGTTGGTTTTAAGAGAAGGGAATCCACATATGAGAAACGATGTGGTGTAAAGCAGTAGACCTCTCCTCCCCCACCCACTCCAGCTAGGAGCTGATGTCTTTCTCAAGCAGAAAGGAAAAGGTCAAGAAATGCTTTCTGTCCCTGGATGGATTTTTGATTTGGCTTTCTTAACTGACAGATATCACAGGGCATTTGGACCCATTGAATCGAAGGCTGCAGAGAAAGGGAAAGTTTTGGGGCAATACGTATTCTGAACTGAGAGCATTTGAATCACAACAAACATTTCTGTGAAGCCAGTTGGTGAAAGTAACTTTTCAAACATCTCATGGGGCATTACACTAAATTTGAAAAGGATGGGAATTTACAATTCAGTGTTGAAAGACATATCAAAGCACTGAACCAATTGCACATGGAATTTCAGACCAGATTCACTGATTGCCAGCAGCATGGAAAGAAAATAAGACAGTTTTAGAATCCATTTGTAAAATGCAAGTAACTTTTATCAGATGGAACTGATGTATTTGCAAGCCAGTGATCATCTGAGAGAAAATAGTCTGTTAGATTTCTATCCTGGTCTACCTGATATATTTATCAACCTAAAGAATTTTGCTGCAGGCATGTTCACAGTCTTTGACATGACATACATCTGTAAATGAACTTTTTCTGGAATGACGACCGTGAAATCCAAGTGTAGGTCAAGTGGAAAAGGAGAGTAGAAAGCAAGCAGGGCAAAAAGTCAGAGCAAACAGCTCTTGTTGAGGAAGGAAGAAGGCATTTGCCTCAAGCAGCAGGCTCACAAAAAACCCTGGAAGCCATTTGGAGGAGCCTTGATGGATCGAGCCTCTAGAAATGTTTAGTATCCAAAACACATTGTATCCTTTTGGCAGAAATACCAGGCATTTTACTCTCTCTCTCTCTCTCTCTCTCTCTCTCTTTGCAAAAGCAGGCCAGACATCTCCTGTACCCATCCACACAGCTGCTTTATCTTCCTTAGACACACATATAGCCTTCAACATAGTAATGCTAGGAAAGGGGGAGTGAAAGAGCTGAGTGATATGGTTACCTGAGATCTGCTGGCTAGCAAAGCACTCAAAATGGCCAGAATATGGAGGATAAGACCTACAGGGGGCTGACAGAAGGAACCAGAAGAAATGATGATGCTGTTGTGTTCTTTTGTGAGAAAGGTACAGGAAAAACGGCAGTAGATGGTGCCACTTCAGGCAGGAAGAACCATGAGGGAAAATGCCTCAAGGGTGCAGTAAACAAACAGTTTGGAGAGCCACACAGGACGTGCTCATGTGGCACATGAACCGCTTTTGGGCACTCCTGGTATAGAGTCTGTGTGTCTGAACATAACGAAGCAAAAAGCACAGCAATGTCAGCTAACAAGCAATCTTCAGACAACATGCTCTGACAGCAAGGACAAATTGTACTTAAGGATACATTTTGAATTATTTACTGACAAAATATGCACGGCTTTGCTGCCTGGCACAAACAAGTCACCTAACCTTCATCTCTCTCACACACACTACCGTATATCTGATGGTGTCTTCCATTATCCTTACTGAGACCAGCAAACATTTCTTTCCACTTGTCAGTTTTGGAATCAAGGAATATATTATTATGAAGTGCAATAATAACCAGTTGTGTCACATTCTAGGATCACATCCAATTCTAAAATGCACAAGCACTCAGCATGGCAGTACCCACCGCCGTACAACCCTAAGAAAAAGGGCACACACAGAGAAAGCTACTGTATCAGCAAACCGGTCCTAACAGGTTTCATCTCCACCAAGAACAAGTTTTGTTTTTTTGGTTTGTTTGTTTAGTATAGTTCGTAATTCTTCATTTGAGACCAAGCCACCCCAAAATAACCAGAATTTGAATTATAACAGAGATAGTTTGCAAGAATAGTGTGAGGGCTGCAACGGAGATCACAGAGAAATCTTACAGGAGTGGCAGATAAGAATCACGATCCCTGCTAATGAAGAAGATTCAGCATTTCCATCCTGCGATCCTGGCCCCATTGTACTACTAGTACCCCAGTGTGAATGCATCTGCCACCAGAGCCCAGAGTGAGTATCTGCAATGAAGCTGTCCTAGTTCTCAATGATTCCTACTCTTTCATCTGGTAAAAGGCAGATGGTTATAGTTCAGTGGTGGAATGGATGCTTCATATGTAACAAGCAAGCAAGCAAACAAACAAACAACAGGTTCAACCTCTGACATTTCAAGGTACGGCAGGGAAAGACTCCTGTCCAATACTCTGACAGGAGTGTATGAATGGTACTGAGTGAACTAGACCACAACCAACCAACCAACAGGTTCAGCCTCTGACATTTCAAGGTAGGGCAGGGAAAGACTCCTGTCTAATACTCTGAAAAACTGCTGCCATTGTGTATGAATGGTACTGAGTGAACTAGACCAATGGTCTGATGTGTTATAAGGAACATTAAAAATAGGAAGCTGCTTCATAGGCCATTGGTCTATTTAGCCAGTATCTTCAGCAAGTTCTCAGGACTTCAGGAAGAATTGCTTCCTAACCCTGTCTGGAGAGTGCTGGTCATCTTTGGTGCATTTCCATCCCAATACTAAGCAGGCCTCATTCTGGCTAGCTTCCAAAATCAAATGTAGCCAATGTGTTCATAAAGTTAACAAGACACTTACTGGGATGTCTGAACCTCCCCTTTCCTTCCAGGTGTTTAGAGAGGTGATTTTCCTATCTGACCTTCCACAGCTGTCTTGTGAAGTAGAATAAACTAAGAGAAAGAATCATCAGTCTGGGCCAAACCACAGATGTCCATTCAGTTCCATATTTAGTTTCTTCAACAGTTAGGTAGATGTTTGAGGAAGCAGAAAAGCACAGTATGAAGACAGTAGCCATGCTCTACTCTGTCCCAGTGATATCATGCACATAGGTGGACTGCCTCCAAATATGGAGGTGTCCAATGGCTGTTGATAGACCTATTCTTCATGAGTCTATCTAATCTTCCTCTAAAGTGTTCTAAACCTGAGCCCATTGCCACTTCCCTACAGAAAGACAGACAAAATCTTTATTGTGCAATCAGCAGATCATTGCAAAATTAAAAGATGACTACACCAACCTAGTACATCAATAATGTCATACCATAAGTATTTATCAATAAATATACTATGGGAATAATACTGATGCTGATACATAAAATTAAACTACATACATAGAATTAAACTATAGCATATGGTAATTTTAGTACTGTACATCAATAATGTCATACCATAAGTATTTATCAATAAATATACTATGAGATAGAATAATACCAATGCTGATAC